CCGGGCTGGATCTTAATTTCCTGGTGCTGTGACCTGGGGGGCTGGGAGGTTGTAAAATGCCCGGGGTGGGTGGGAAGGCAGTTGTTGGAATTTTGCATCCTCTTCTGGACCTGTAAGGGTTTTTCGTAGGATCAGACTAACTTTTAGACAGCGCAGAGAGAGGAATCGCGCGCTTGGCACCTGATGAGGGTTTAAGTAAAAGCCATATTGGTGTTTCAGTGCGCGGCGCTCCTGGGGGTTTCCTCAGCGAAGGAAGCACTTTCCCTGAACGAAAATTTTGCTTCTACTTTAGGACAAGGGAAGCCCCCCCAACCCTCCCACGCCCGCCCCCTGCTCACTGGGTGAACGCGTTAGAGAGCCTACCTAGACCTCACAACTGTGCTCCAAAGTTCTCCGGATTGGAAAACCGGGATCCCAGTTATTTAGCAAAAAGCGCAGCGGAATTTCAAAAACTGATTTTAATCACGGTGGTGTCATTTAACTCTATTTCCGCTTGCTTTTTAGTTACTCGCTTATTTATTTTGGTGTTTTGAGACAGGATCTCCCTACCAGGCTGGCCTTGAACTCACTGTGTAGCTCAGGCTGGCCTCAGACTCACAGAGATCTTCTTGCCTCAGCCAGGAGAGTCCTGCTATTTATTACAGGCTTGCACCACCATGCCTGGCTAATTCTATTTCTTCAAAATAATGATTATCAAGTCTTTTGAAGGAAGAGTCATCTCAGATTGCTTTGAACGTGTGATTCAAAATTCATCCAACAGAATTCACTCACATGTGCTTGGTTGGATCGTTGGCGACCACTTCAAAGTGGCCCTTAACTCTGTCTCCCCAAACATATACCCCCTTTTTCAGGGGTCCTTCTTGTTGCTGTTCAGGCGTCCTCACTAGCTAACTAGTTGTTGACCTTTGGAAGGAGCCCTCCTCGGGGACTAACTCCTCTTTGTATCAAAACCCCTTCGGATTGCGCTGGGCATGGCCTAATGAAGCCTCTGGAGTTAAATCTCCCTGGGGCTTCTACATCACAGGTACACCAGGCAACCGGTCCAGTGTTCCCTCAGGATCTGTAGTTTTCAGAATTGGCTATTTTGCTCAGTAGTTGGCAAGGCAAGAATCACTGTACCAAAAGACACATTTCGTTTGTTCTTATTGTCTCACAGGGAGTGCCCAGTGTGCTCTGACAAAAATAATTTTTAAAAGTTGCATTATTTTCATTAGACAGCATGAAAATTTGCCCTTTAAAGCTCTAGAGCTTTTTGTCAGACGCTTTTGTGTTTCTAGCATGGGCCTATGTCATAATTTAAGATTTCCTATTTGGGAACTGATTGAAAAGTAAAAGTTAAATTATTGATTTAAAAACAACCTTCCAATAATATGGCAGCCTTCTTTATGTGAAACAAGGATGAGCAGGATAATTTTATGTCAACCCTATTCTATTCTTTTTATTTTTAACCTTAATTTTTATTTTAAAGTCACACAGTGTAGATGTACAGACTCCCCATGATAAGTGTAACTATTATGTACTGCAAACGTGTACTAATAAAAAATAAGTGAGAAAAAGAAAAAAGTGACAATCTAGAAAGTTAATGGAATCATTTAAAAATAAATATTTCCTCTTCTTAAATATGTGTCCTTATAACCAGGAGTTCTAAACGAAACTCACTGAGTTCCAATGACTCAACTGGCAGCCAATGTCCCCAGAAGCCACCAGAGGCCAGACATAAGAGCACCCATGGGACCCACCGTATGAGTCTCCACCAGCCTCATCCTTGGGGTGATGTTGCAGCATGGCTGTCTGACACAAGCCCAGGGTGAAAGTTTCAGAGCTTCTTCAGTATTTACAGACCCTGAGGCAGATAGCACACCTGGAAGACATGCGTGGAAGTCAGGGACCACAGGTAGGAAGACAGAAACAGGTCTCATGGCCCAGTGTCTTTATTGGGTCCAGAGCATTACAAGCTTCCCAAAGGGAGACTGTTAGCTTAAAGCAAACAGGTACTAGTTTTAACGAATGTGACTCCTTGATGTTCACCAGTAAATGTCCGAATGGTCCCTTAAAGGAAGCAGCAAGAAATCAAGGACCCACCTGCTAGATGGCAGATACTCCCAAGCTTTGAATACTGGCCACTGGTGCTATACCAGACTGGTTGTCAAGGGTAACCGAGCTCTGCTTCTGGTAAGAGAAAGCTAAACTTGTAGAAAGGACCCTGAAATGATGTAAATTTGTAAGTACTTTTAAAGATGGATATGTCTGTAGTCTGTGGTGATTTTAATAGCTACCATAAATGAATAAAGTTTGAAGGTTAGCCTTCAATCTGAATTTCTGAGAATACCAAAAGGCTAAGTCACCTTGCTTCTGGTGATCCTTGAGCAGGTGTTAAGGTGGTGACATGCTTAATAACACCTAATTGTGCGAAATGCTTGCCATGATATCTTTAGAGCATACAGGATACAGTTGTCAGACCTAGCAAATTTTTAAGTACTGATGATGAGATTATGCAAAGTAGAGTTTGATGAGCAACTTATGATATGCTTGTCTTAGATTCTTTTGTTGGCTCTCTGCTATAGACCTGTGTGTTGTGGAAGAATGTCACAGGGAATCCCGGTGCAGATAAAGAGCTCTTCTACATATATATAGCTTATAATTTTGCCCTACACCCAATTTAACTTTAATTATATTCAAAATAAAAAAATTGGGGGGCTTAAATGTTTTCCCTATTGTTTGAAATTATTGTTTGAAACACAACCATCTATATAATTGTGTCCAAATAGATTTGGTTCTTATGGAAAACACTTATAAAATGGAAGCAAAGGAGCCGGGGATTTAGCTCAGCGGTTCAGTGGCCTGCCTTGCAAGCACAAGGACCCGAGTTCAATCCCCTGTACCAAAAAAACCCAAAAAACCAAAAAAAAAAAGAAAAAAAAACCACACAAAACTCTGTCTAAAATGGAAATAAAATTCCAATTTTAATGGGAACAAATGGTCAGCATTTTTTTCTGTTGGAAAGCTGACTTTCATATCCTGTTGTAAGACTAGTGAACTGGTACATGGTAATAAAATTGATACCCTGATGTGCAGAAACCAAATCTGTGTGTAATTAGTTTTCCTTTCAGGATCTTTCTCTTCCTTTCTGTGACTTCATCACTTTCTGTTCCCCCCTTTAACCAACCTTAAATGAAACCCATCCCAGGCAAAATTCTTCATCTCCTAGATGGTTCCTTCCTACCAGTTCTCTTATCTAACTGTCTTTAACAAATCGATGGCTTATGAAAGAGATACTATTAATGATAATTAAAAGCTGAAGTTTGAAGAGGGTGACTATCAGGTCTGAGTATTCAACCCAAGGCTTTAAAACCTATCCTCTGATCTTGCCAACCCATTGGATTCAGTATGGATTCCTGACCTGGAGCAGCAACCTATGGCTGCTTTTGCAAGGACCACTGAAGAATTCTGGAAAGGATCCAGGGATATGGCTCTGAGAGCGTGCAAATGACAGTAGCTTTCTTTCTTCCTTTTGGTTGAGAAGAATCGGGGAAAGGCTGTGAATGTTTGAAGGTATCTCCATACTGCCCCTCTTGCTCTGGTGGAGCCATGTACTCTGCACTGGGATAGGGCCTTCTGGTTACTAAGAATGAAAGGTAGCTGAGGCAGTGGGACAGCGCTTGCTCCATGGGACTCCTCCCCCAACATCCCTTGTCTCAGGCAGGCTTATGGATTTTGCTCCTCTCACACGGTGGCAGATGGGTCCATTTTCAAGGCAGTGCCCTGGGAACAGAAGATCCGCTGTGGGCCAGAGTGCCCTCCTATAGGTTACTGTAGGAAAGGAGGAGGAAGAAGGATGAATAGAAACTATATAGACTAGTCAGACTGTGTATCTCTGGATATGTGATTTACATCACCATAAACTTCAGTTTCTTAATTTGTAAAGCAGGAGTAAGAGTATCCACTGTTTAGAACTATTAGGAAGTTGTAAGAGAAATATGCAGAGTGCATAGCTTAAAATAGGCTTTCCAGGAATACAAAATTCAGATAATTGTATATGGAAGCAACTGAAAAATGCTAGTTATTCCATGAGACTTCATGGGTCATACTTGCTCGATTCCCCTTGTTACTGGTTAAAATCTCATTTTGCCTTTTAATTCAGAAGTCAGTAAGGCACATGCTGTATGTTTATGCTGCTACTGCTGAATCTTGGTTGTCTGGGCTTTCAGTTTTGGGAAGACTGAAAAGTTAATTTATATATTAAAAATGAACTAAGAGCCCAGGTGATATGTAGGAAAGTAATTTTCAAAAAGCAGTGTGGTTGATGGCATAGTGCAATTACCACCACAAATGCCTTCAAAATTTTTATCCTTGCCCACTGATTTTTCTAGTGTCATTTCATAAACTCTGTGCTGTTCATAACTATTCTCAAAGCATCTGCAACTGTCTATCCCTGTTTCTTACCTATGAAGACGTGGACAACAACTGTGTGTTTACTGCATCTCCAGTATCTAGTGAAATGTTAGGCACATAGTAGGTGCATACATTTTGGCCTGTGTTTGTTCAGTGAGTCCATGCATGCAAGAATGATTAACAGAGCAGTGGTAAAACCTGGGTAATGCGTGATTCTTAAAATATGTAGTTCTCTTCACTGCTGCATTTAAATTTGTAATACACACTCACGTTTCCTCCATGGTGCTGTTTGTAATAGTGAAAATTTGTAAATATTTACACATATGCAATGGGACATTATTTAGAACACCTAAATATATCATAGCCGTGTGGTTTAACACATTCACAATGGGCCATAATTCGAATCTCCCACTCCCAAGTGGCTCTGATCCACCGGAGAGGTACATGCACGACTGTCCAGTGAGGTGACATGGGACAGTCCCCTTGGGTGAAAGAAGCCAGCCAGTGGGTCAGTCATGCATGTATCACTGGGGGTTTAAGCCAGTGGTAACATGTTAAATAAATTATGGTAAGGTATATAATACTATGTGAATGTATGCCACTTCTTAGACAATGATTTCATATTGTAAAAGAATCTAGGTAGAGAGATAGCAAAGGATTAATACAGGTTGTCTACCTCTGGATGGGATTGTAGATATTCCTTAAATTCTTTTGCCTGGTTATCATTTTGGATTCTTGAGTAATGAACTTGTTTCCTTTTACAAGGAAGAAACACAGATGCATACTTTGTGTATTGTTGATCACTTATTTTGTACCACTAGTCACTGGGTGTTTAGGTGTCTTCTCACCTAAATTTTTTGAATTTGTCCTCTGAACTCTTTTTGAATATTGAAATAATTTTCAACCTCTCGGTGTTAGAAGGCCACGTTATTGAGTTTTGAAAAGAAACAGTGACTAAGGATATTAATTTTCTACCTGTTTGCATGTTGAATACATTGCTTTGCTGCAAATCAGTTAAACCAACTTTTGGTCTCCTCTCTGCCCTTGCCTTTCCTTACTTTTTATCATGTAAGCATTTTATGATAGCTAAGGAGTGCCTAATTTGTAAGTATTCTGTAATCATTTTGTGCATGAACTTGAGGCATTTTTAAGGTGATCTCTGTTAAGTATCATTTCTTTTTCTGCAGCGTTAGCTCCAGGAACAAAGAACTTTGTAGAGTGCTTTTTTCCCTTTACTGCTGTTCTTCCTCTTCCCTTTCCTCCTCCTCCTCCTCTTCCTCCTCCCTTTCTTCCTCCTTGAAAGCAGCATTGTGTGGGAATAGAGCTGTGAATGAGTAGCTTTTAATCTTACATCTTTGTATATTTTGTGGAAATCATATGATTACTTCAGCACCTTCCCTTGTAACATCATGACACTGTTTCTTGCTGACATCTCCTTGTTTCTTCAGTTTTGACTGAACAAGGGATGCAGAGTTCTTTTTCCCACTACCTACTAGCAACTTCACTTTTCCTTGTGAGGATTTCTTTTCCAGTCTCAATAGAATCCCTACCTTGTATTTGAGATTTTCCCTCACAAACACTCAAACTCACTGAGTGATCCTGAGCCCCTTGCTCTTCGTGACATCCAGCCCAGTTGTACTCCTTGAGATGTCTGTCCTCTTGATTTGGGGGCAGTAGCCCTTTCCCAACCTTCATGGTAGGTAGTAGAGTGGTTCTGGAAGAGCAAACTGCTTGAAAGAAAATGATTATCTCCATGAAGGACTCCCTCTCCATGCACTTTACTCCTCAACCTTATGGGTTATCTAGCACGCTCCTCCCCACTTTCTCCTTCACTTGGAGCTCCTAAGGATTCCTGAAAGACTGGATCCATGATGGTAATTTCCGCTTTCTATATGTTGAACTTCTTTTTGGATTTTGAGGGATGAATAGGTAAAACACCTAATTATCATTTTGTATGCTTGCATCCACAACTCGGATGAGGAAATACACTTTGGCCATCATCCTAGCCGCCCTTTCATTAGGCCCGATTCTAATCATGGTCCTTCCCTCCCTTTAGAAACACATTATTCTGATTTGTATAGGAAGTGCTTTTCTGCAAGTTTTATAGTTTTACCATCTGTGGGTGCACTCCTAGGCTTAAAAATTTAGTTTTGTCCATTTTTAACCTATGATATGCCTTATTTATTTGTAAATTTCCTCTCCCATCATTTTCTGTCTTATAATTAACCCATTGAAATACCTAAGTCATCGGACCTATAGAGTTACCCACAACCTAAATTTGCTGTTTGCCTGTCCATAGTTCAGCTCTTTTCTTGAATACTGATTTTTTTTCTTTTTTCAATTTTTTGAGACAGAGTCTCACTATGTATTTCAGGCTGGCCTCGAATTTACTGTGTAGCCCAGCCTGGCCTCAAGTTTATGGTGATCATCTCGCCTCAGTCTTTCCAGTGCTAGGATTATAGGCATGTGCCACCACACGCAGTTGAAGTGTCCCAATTCATT